CACACACACACACACACACACACACACACACACACACACACACTGAAGGGTTTTTCACAGATCTCACCATCTGCCTGCTTCACAGGACAGGAGGCTTCAGAGAGCATCAGACCAGGCAGAACAGGAGCAAACAGACAGGTTTGGGTTCACATGAGCCCTAAAACGGTTCTGATCAGTCCACACCTGAACTCTTAAAGTTTTTCTTTCACAAGAAGATAAAGACTTCTYCAGCTTAAAATATCTTTTATTGTTTTTTTTAAGTGTTGGTGAATGTTAGAGCTGCTCCTCTCTGCAGAGATCACTGCAGTGATTAAATGTTTGATTGTTTGAGGTCAGGTCCTCTTCTTGACACAAGCTGGGGTTGAACCTGTGGCCTCAGGATTATGAGGCCACACTAATGACCACTGTTCACACAATCAAAATGACTGTCTAACAGAATAATAACAGTTTGTAGCAGGACCAGAGCTGCAGGTTTGTGTCCACTTGGATCAGGTGGAAACATAAAGTCTGGTTCCTGATGAGTTTATTGGACTAACTTCATATAAAATGATTTAATGTTTGAAGCGTTTGACTCCAGAGTTACATGTAAAACAAAGTAAAAACATCCAGTTTGTGATCTGAGCACAGCCGGTGGTAAATCCACTCCACATGCTGACCACCTTGTCCCCGCTGACTGAAAGACTCCAGTGTCCCTGCAGGAGTCCTCTGACAGTCCACCAGTCGGTGTCTGCCAGAGCTGCCGCTGCTGTCGCAGCGTTACACCAGTCACAAAGGAGCCCTCAGTGAGTCCGAGCCCCGGCTGAGACAATGACCCCAGGGACGCTGTCCCACTGCTGGACGTGTGGTTTGAGTGTTTAAGAGGCGAGGCAGGGCGGAGACAACCTGGAGGAAAGGCCTCTGTTTGCACAACAGATGGACTGGAAGCTGCAAACTGGAACAACAACAGATTTCCAGTCGTTTTCAGCTTCACCACTGAACAAAACGAGTTTAAATTGACTTCAGCATGAATAATGATGCAATCCTGCAGCACAGATGAGTTCATATTATTATCAACAGAAAAAGCTATTAAATATTGGAAAGAAGTCAAAGTTTCTGATGCAGTTTCTTAAGTTTATGTGTAGTAGTCTAACCCACTCTTATAATAAAGTTATAAGGAAATWATTTAGCAAGGATCTCTTATTTTCAGTAGATATCTTCCAGGCAAAAATGAATTGACAAAACACAATGAGATGAGTGTGACTCAGTGTCTTTAGTTTGATCTAACAATAAATGTGATCATTTATTTACAGYATKAAAACAAAACACTAATGTGCAGCTTATTGTGGACAATCAGACTTCCTATAAAAAGTCTAACAACAAACTTTAAGGTTTAAATGTTAATAAACCATTTGTTTGTTGTACTTTTCTTAAGTTTTGGCAGGGCAGGTTTAAGAGAAAAGGAAGAGGATTAGTTTAACTTTATCCTTTAAAGAATTTGGATTTTGAACCAGAAAAGGCAGACATCAGGTACYCTCAGTAAAGGGCAGCCTTAACCTTGACCATAAGATTATTCTGTTTATTTGATTAAGAAAACGTCTAAAAAGACAGGAGTTGTTAACATTTTTGAACTCGGGGCCCAATTTACTGAACATAAAGAGGCACGAGGCCCAGTCACACATTATTAATGTATGCATCAATATGATAATTATTCTAAATCTTGGTTTAATTTTTGTTGTATTTACATTATAACTAAATTAAATACACTTACAGTTTAAAAGTAAAACTCCTGTCAAATAATCACAAAACATGATTTTGACAAACCTTTTTATATTGTAACCTGCCCATAACTATTATTTGAACAAATACAAAGGTCAGTCAACAGACCACTCAGGCTTATCAACACAAAAATTTATATTTTTAACATAAACAATACCTAAAATAGACAATAAATAAAATTGTGGGCATAAAATAGGTTCATTAAAAATGTTTAAATGTTTCAAATACAAAAAACCTATAAAAATAAATTTGATAAAGTACAAATGAAAATCTAGTCTTTTTAAACTTTTGCAACCAGAAGC